TGGGGATGTTGGCTATACATACAGGGATATGCTTGCAATACATAGTGGGGTATGCTTGCTATACATACAGGGGTATGCTTGCTATACATACAGGGTATGCTTGCTATACATAGTGGGGTATGCTTGCTATACATACTGGGGTATGCTTGCTATACATACTGGGGTATGCTTGCTATACATACTGGGGTATGCTTGCTATACATACTGGGGTATTTTGGCTTCTATACTGGGGTATGTAGGCCATAAACAGTGGGGAATGATATCTATAATTACTGTGGTATATTGGCTATAAATTCTTGGGTATGCTGGCTATTAATTCTAGAGTTGTGTTGATTATTATACTGGGGTATGCTGGCTATAATACCAGGGCATGTTTGATATAAAGGCACTATTATTTTAGCTTTCAACACTGGGCTATATTACCTATAAATACTGGGGTATACTGGCTAAAAACATTGTAGTGTGCTGGCTATTGTAATGGGGTACGTTGGCTATAAATACTGGAGTATGCTGACTAAAAACATTGTAGTGTGTTGGTTGTTGTACTAGGGTAAGTTGGCTATGAATACTGGGGTATGCTGGCTATAAATAAAAGGGTGTGTTGGTTATTATTATGGGGTATGTTAGCTATGAATACTGGGGTATGTTGCTATAAATACTGGGATATGCTGGCTATAAATACTGTAGTGTGCTAGCTATTTTCCTGGGGTATGTTGGCTATGAACAATGGGTTAGGATGGCTATAAATACTGGGGTATGTTGACTAAAAATACCAGAGTATGTAAAAATTCTAAAACTAAAACCCTAGACTGATTCTTGAGCCAGTGGAAGAATTCTGAAAATGCAGTGTGTATGGCTGTGCATGCTGTGAGGATGGGGAAGTAGGCCCAAACTACCAGTGACTCCTGTGGGGGTAGTGCTACATACGTGTGGCTCCCCGCATATGGGAAAATAACGGGTTTTACACTTGAGGACCCAGCAGCTAGTAAACATCTGAGTGCACGAGGCCTTAGAGAAATGAATTGTTAGGGTTTACATACACAATAAGAGGTATTAGGGTGAGTAAGCTGCTGTGGAAATTACTTAAGTAAGGTGGTATATTTACTAAAGGAATGTACCTGTTCTGGGGGACAGACTGCCCATTCGTCTGTGCGTCTAATAACTGTGTGTCCTCGCTCGCCTCAGATGATATCTCAGATGGTTCTTCCATGTCCTGGGTTGTTGCTGCCTCTGTGGATTCTTTAGACTCTTCTGTATCTGGTGAACTATCCATAATTCTCAGAGATGGGATGGTGGAGTACCTGATGTACACTCAGCTAACCACCCAGTTCCAGCGTTGTCTTCTTGTCAGCTCTTTCTATAATCTGAGTCTCTTCTGGTCCTAGATGAGAACAATACAGTCCGCAGCGAGTTCTGTGGTTTCTCTTTATCCAAGAAGATATTACAAATAACTTGTTATAATTAGTGAGTTAAAACCAGACTACGGCAACAGTATGTGACACCAAAAAATCCGATCCAAATGTCACATTCCAGCCTCAGGACAAACAAGGCCTAAAGCCAAGTGAAGAGACATATGTTTTTATCAGTTCCAGAGTTTCTTTCACTTTCATTTGACACACCTGAGCCGTCTGTCATTTCTTATGAATATAAATTCCTACTGTATTTTTCATTCCATAAGATGCACTTAGGTTTTAGAGGAGGAAAACAGGTAAAAAAATATTCTGAACCAATGAATTGCAGACATAGTACAGGGGATGACCAGAGACTGCGGACACAGTACAGGAGATGACCAGAGACTGCAGACATAGTACAGGAGATGACCAGAGACTGCGGACACAGTACAGGAGATGACCAGAGACTGCGGACATAGTACAGGAGATGACCAGAGACTGCAGACATAGTACAGGAGATGACCAGAGACTGCGGACACAGTACAGGAGATGACCAGAGACTGCGGACATAGTAAAGGAGATGACCAGAGACTGCGGACATAGTACAGGAGATGACCAGAGACTGCGGACATAGTACAGGAGATGACCAGAGACTGCAGACACAGTACGGGAGATGACCAGAGACTGCGGACATAGTACAGGAGATGACCAGAGACTGCGGACATAGTACAGGAGATGACCAGAGACTGCAAACACAGTACAGGAGATGACCAGAGACTGCGCACACAGTACAGGAGATGACCAGAGACTGCAAACACAGTACAGGAGATGACCAGAGACTGCAAACACAGTACAGGAGATGACCAGAGACTGCGGACATAGTACAGGAGATGACCAGGGACTGATGACCAGACAGACTGAGACACAGTACGGGAGATGACCAGAGACTGCGGACATAGTACAGGAGATGACCAGAGAGACTGCGGACATAGTACAGGAGATGACCAGAGACTGCGGACACAGTACAGGAGATGACCAGAGACTGCGGACATAGTACAGGAGATGACCAGAGACTGCAGACACAGTACGGGAGATGACCAGAGACTGCGGACATAGTACAGGAGATGACCAGAGACTGCGGACACAGTACAGGAGATGACCAGAGACTGCGGACACAGTACAGAAGATGACCAGAGACTGCGGACACAGTACAGGGATGACCAGAGACTGCGGACATAGTACAGGAGATGACCAGAGACTGCGGACACAGTACAGGAGATGACCAGAGACTGCAGACACAGTACAGGAGATGACCAGAGACTGCGGACACAGTACAGGAGATGACAGAGACTGCGGACACAGTACAGGAGATGACCAGAGACTGCGCACACAGTACAGGAGATGACCAGAGACTGCGCACACAGTACAGGAGATGACCAGAGACTGCGGACATAGTACAGGAGATGACCAGAGACTGCGGACATAGTACAGGAGATGACCAGAGACTGCAAACACAGTACAGGAGATGACCAGAGACTGTGGACATAGTACAGGAGATGACCAGAGACTGCGGACACAGTACAGGAGATGACCAGAGACTGCGGACACAGTACAGGGAGATGACCAGAGACTGCGCACACAGTACAGGAGATGACCAGAGACTGCGGACATAGTACAGGAGATGACCAGAGACTGCGGACATAGTACAGGAGATGACCAGAGACTGCAAACACAGTACAGGAGATGACCAGAGACTGTGGACATAGTACAGGAGATGACCAGAGACTGCCGACACAGTACAGGAGATGACCAGAGACTGCGGACATAGTACAGGAGATGACCAGAGACTGCGGACATAGTACAGGAGATGACCAGAGACTGAGGACATAGTACAGGAGATGAACAGAGACTGAGGACACAGTACAGGAGATGACCAGAGACTGCGGACATAGTACAGGAGATGACCAGAGACTGCGGACACAGTACAGGAGATGACCAGAGACTGCGGACATAGTACAGGGATGAACAGAGACTGAGGACACAGTACAGGAGATGACCAGAGACTGAGGACATAGTACAGGAGATGACCAGAGACTGCAGACATAGTACAGGGGATGACCAGAGACTGCGGACATAGTATAGGAGATGACCAGAGACTGTGTACAGGGGATGAACATGACCTTTCAGCAATGCACATATATACAGTTTAGTATAACAGTCCAAAGGCAGTCTATGGGGGGGAGGGGAGGACATACCTGGCCAGCCGGGTTCAGCATCCTCTCTGAGGGCGGGACTCACAACCATGTCTTCAGCGTACCCTGTCGGCTCTGCAGTGCAGTGATCGGGGGCCCCAATCTAAGGGCAGCGTGGGCTTAAAGCGGAGTTCCACCCAAAAGTATAAGTTCCTCTTTAATGCTTTGTCCCCCACTCCCCAATAAGGATTGGCACCTTTGGGGAGCGGGTACGTGAATTTGACAGATGCCCGCTCCCACTTCCACTGCGATTACCTAGACGATCGGAAGCTGAAGTTGTCCTCCCCCCTCTCCCTCCCTGTAGTTTTTTAGAACATGTGACAGGTCCCAGAAGACTCCGGGGACATTCACAAAGCACAGCGCTTCTTGCACATGCTCAGTGGGCACCCGGCTGTGAAGCTGCAAACTGTCACAGCCGGGTGCCCACACTGAAGATGCCGGCGCCGGGGAGAGAAGATGACCAGTGAAGCCAGCCGTGGTGAGGACACCCCTGGACCGAGGGACAGGTAAGTGACTGTATTTTAAATGTGAGCAGCTACAGTATTTGTTTTCAGCTGGAACTCCTCTTTAAGGGGCATCTGCTTTGGGCCCCGCCTGGTGCTGCTGCACTGCTGAATCGATCTCCTCCTCTCTTGTGCCACAGAAGAGCCGAGCTGCCGACCCGGTATTCTAACACGGCGGCGAGGGAGGGGGGCTGGGGGGGGGGAGTCCTGGTCAATATTTGCTCCATAACACGCACAGACATTTCCCCCCCCATTTTTTTGGGGGGGAAATTGCATCTTATGGAGTGAAAAATACGGTATTTAGAGTTTTTTAGAACATTAACAGGAGAAGATTATTTGTTTCTAATAGTGTTAATAAAATAAAATGAATAATAATAATAAAAATAAATAAATTCATACATCTATACATTGAATAAAAGAGAGACGGAGCGAACACTGCAGAGACACATACAGATAATGCTGACATTGTCAATAACTTCATTATCCTGCATGTTACCAACACAATGCCGTATGGGAGTATATATATCGGGATATCCCAATCACAAAATGACAAAGTATAAAAATATGAAATATTTGACTACAAAGAAGATTTATATCAATACAGATTATAGGAGAAGAAAAGATCACCTGATTGTGGGATATACAGTACCTCCCAGAAGTGAGTCCTCCCCCCACATTTGTGTAAATATTGTTTTGTATCTTTCCATGTGACAACACTGAAGAAATGACACTTTGCTACAATGTGACGTAGTCAGTGTACAGCTTGTATAACATGGAAATTTGCTGTCCCCTCAAATAACTCAACACACCGCCATTAATGTCTAACCCGCTGGCCACAAAAGTGAGTCCACGAACACGGATATGTCCTAAGGATGGGAACCTGTTAAAGAACCATATGAGCTGGTGTATGCTCTAGAACAGGGGTCCTCAAACTACGGCCCGCGGGCCACATGCGGCCCGCCAAGGCCATTTATCCGGCCCGCCGGCAGGGGCGGGACAGGATGGGACACTAAGTACAGGGGCGGGCAGGGGGCTGCTATACAATACATGGCTCCGGTCCCAGTCCCACGACGATCCAGTCCAGGAAGCGCTGCTCCTTCATTCACTCCGGCCACTCCCTCACTCCTGCCGCTCGGCTCCGCCTGCTCACCGGTGATTGGGCACCAGAACTGTAGCTCAGGAAAGGCACACAGGTGGCCAATCACCTGCGAGGAGGCGGAGCCGAGCGGCCCCGCGAACATCGAGTGAAGAAAAGGGCCGGAGTGAAGAAGGACAGCTGACAGGTAAGTGTGCCGTGCTGATGGTGCTGCTGCAACCAGGTATGCTGGAGCAGGAGTCAGCAAGTTACGTGTCATTGGTGTCAGTGGGAGGAATAGTGCACCATCATTGGTGTCACTGATACTAATGATGGGGCATTAATCCTCCCACTGACACCAATGATGGGGCACTATTCCTCCCCCAACTGACACCAACGATGGGGCACTATTCCTCCCCCAACTGACACCAACAATGGGGCACTATTCCTCCCCCCACTGACACCAATGATGGGGCACTATTCCTCCCCCAACTGACACCAACGATGGGGCACTATTCCTCCCCCCACTGACACCAATGATGGGGCACTATTCCTCCCCCCACTGACACCAATGATAGGGCACTATTCCTCCCGGTGATACCAATGATGGGGCACTATTCCTCCCGTGATACCAATGATGGGGCACTATTCCTCCCCCCAACTGACACCAACGATGGGGCACTATTCCTCCCACTGACACCAATGATGGGGCACTATTCCTCCCACTGACACCAATGATGGGGCACTATTCCTCCCACTGACACCAACGATGGGGCACTATTCCTCCCACTGACACCAGTGATGGGGCACTATTCCCCCCACTGACACCAATGATGGGGCACTATTCTTCCCACTGACACCAATGTTGGGACACTATCCCCTTCCCCCCACTGACACCAATGACGGGGCACTATTCCTCCCCCCACTGACACCAACGATGGGGCACTATTCCTCCCCCCACTGACACTAATGATGGGGCACCATTCTTCCCACTGACACTAATGATGGGGCACTATTCCTCCCACTGACACCAATGATGGGCACTATTACTCCCACTGACACCAATGATGGGGCACTATTCCTCCCACTGACACCAATGATGGGGCACTATTCTTCCCACTGACACCAATGATGGGGCACTATTCCTCCCACTGACACCAATGATGGGGGGAGGAGATAGGGGAGAAGGGCACTAATGATGGGGCACTATTCTTCCCACTGACACCAATGATGGGGCACTATTCCTCCCACTGACACCCAATGATGGGGCACTATTCCTCCCACTGATACCAATGATGGGGCACTATTCCTCCCACTGACACCAATGATGGGGCACTATTCCTCCCACTGACACCAATGATGGGCACTATTTCGCTCCATAAGACACATTTGGGGGAAATGTCTGTGCGTCTTATGGAGTGGCCGGCCCAGTATTCCCGCCGCCGTTGTATGTCCGCAGTCTCTGGTCATCTCCTGTACTGTGTCTGCAGTCTCTGGTCATCTCCTGTACTGTGTCTGCAGTCTCTGGTCATCTCCTGTACTGTGTCTGCAGTCTCTGGTCATCTCCTGTACTGTGTCCGCAGTCTCTGGTCATCTCCTGTACTGTGTCCGCAGTCTCTGGTCATCTCCTGTACTGTGTCCGCATTTGTTCATAGTTTTTTTTTTTTTTAAACTATAGTCCGGCCCTCCAATGGTCTGAGGGACAGTGAACTGGCCCCTGTTTAAAAAGTTTGAGGACCCCTGATCTAGAATGTGGGTTTGAGGACTCTCACCGTGGGCACCCGCCCTGCACTGATGTCAAATTGGGGGAAGTGGCTGAGTCTGTAGCTGCAGCATCCCAAAAGGCATCAATGAGACTGTCTACATATGGATGCCCAGAAAACCAGAAAAACAGCCATTTGCAAAGAGTAAAATTCCTATATTTTCCAGCAAACTCTGGATCCTCAAATACGTCCAAATCTTTATTGAAGAATGATCACATCACAGAAGACATAGTGCAATGTTTCGGAGCCGCGCAGGACCCTATTTTCATCCCATGCCTGACAAAGGGGTCCTGCGCAGCTCAGAAATGTTGCACTATGTCTTCCTCGATGTGATCATTCTGCTGGCAAATATATGCATTTGATCTGTGATATCTCCAGTCCCAGCTGGTTGTTGCTGCAGCTTCCGTTACTCCTAAAGCCTTATCCGGGAAAGTGTACAATGGGAATATCGATGCAACTTTGCCAAGAGCGTCCGTCCGTGTGAAAGTGGACATGCTGTAAGCTTTGTAAACTGATCCAATGATAAACACGGCTGCCAACCCCCCCAAAAAAAGGAGTGGGGTCATCCGGTGACATCCATTGCAGACCCTTCCCTTTAGCTATTTAAGAACTGTCATACATAACTAAATAACCAGGGGCCAGGGTCACCCAATGATGTCACCAGGGGTGAACCCGCTCCCTTGTGATGTCACCGACCCAGCATGCCCCTGGCCGATGATGTCACAAGGGGGCGGGGTCAACCAGTGGCATCGGGTGGCCCCTGCCCTTAGTTAATTAAGAGCTGTCAGATGGAGGAGCTGTCAGATGACAGGAGCCTTCATCAGATGAAACTGGTTTTTTTTTCTGGATCAGCGTCCAGCGTTCATCATGATTGACGTTGGATCTGCTTTAGGAGAGATTTTTTTTTTTGTGGGGAGGGTTGTATTTTAATAAAGGACTTGTGTGTGGACTACTGTTGTGTTTTCCCCTTTACATCTAAACTCACAGAGTCCCCCTTACATCTGAACTTGCAGAGTTCCCCTTTAAATCTGAATCCGCAGAGTTCAACTTTAAATCTGAATCTGCAGAGTTCCCATTTGCATCTGAACTCACAGAGTTCCTTTACACTCTAAGGGGGGACTCTGCAAACTCTCATGTAAAGGAGAACTCTGGGGACTCTGACTTAAGGAAAATCACTCCGAACTCTGGTGTAAAGGGTAACTCTAATATAACGGATCTTTGGTAAACAGAGCCCCCATTTACATCATAGTTCACAGCATTCCCCTTTAATCAGTGTTCCCAGGGCCCCCCCCCCCCCCTTACATCAGAGGCTGCAGAATTTGCACTTACACTGTAAGGGTCCTCCTGTGTGTGCTCGTGGCCCCACCCACACTCCAATCCCCAGCAGCACGGAGCCCCACAAAGGGGATGAAGCAGGGAAGCCCAGCAGCTGGAAATCAGAATGTGGAGGAAATGTGTAGACTGCCCAAACTTCCTTCCTGGGTGAGTGATATCACCAACCATGGTGATTGAAATGCCCCCCCACCACTACTAATGTAATGTGAACTCTGTGGACTGTAATGTAAAGGGGGACTCAGATGTAACGGGTGCTCTGTGAACTGTGATGTAAGGGGGGCTCTGGTGAGCAGAAACCCCCTTACATCAGAGTTCTTTTACACCGCCTTAAATCAGAGTTCCCAGAGCACCCCTTACATTAGAGTTCCCCTTTACATTACAGTCCACAGAACTTCCCCTTTACAGTCTCTGATGTCAGGGCTGGGCTCTGGGAACCCTG